TCTCTGTCTCCCTCTGCCGTTCCCCCGGCTTATGCTCTCTCACATGCGCTCTCTCTCTGTGTGTGTCAAATAAACAAATGAAACCATTTAAAAAAACTTTTTTTTTTTTTTTAAAGAAGCATTTCTGGCGGTGGCAGCCTCTCTCTCCTCCTCCCAGCTTCCAGCAATTAGCCACCTCCTCCCTCTGTCCTCCCAGAGCCCCACTGCTGCTGATCTCAGGGCAGCTTCCTACACTGCGGTGCTTCCACCACCTTTGTAACTTGATCTCAGCATTAAATTCCTGCAGCTGAGCTCCCAAGCATGGGCCCTGTTTCCCTAACTTGACTCTGACCCATGCACATGGCCAGTTTCTTGTTCAGTACTAACCACAGATTTATTGCAACCTTCTAGTGGAAACTGTGTGATCCTTTTATTTTATCAAGAGAAAGATGTGCTTCCTTTGGGGCATATTAACTGAGAAAGATTTGGAGACTAACTCAAATTTAACGCTTTGTAAAGGCAAACACAATATTTTATTTGGGAAACATATGATGGTGAAGCAATATCTGTAAACACCATTAACTTTGGGAAGTTCAATGAAAGCTGCTAGAAGGTTCATGAACAAAGAAGAAAACCGGTCTCATTGCTGTTTCTTCAGATTTGTGTAACTAGCTTGTGGTTGGGATATGTGAGGCTTTCCGGACAATAGTTGTCAGAAATTTGGAACACATTAATTTGTGTTTGGAGTTGACTAATTAGCTTCCAATCCTATAAGTTCTTATACAACTGGGTTCTTGGTATGAATTTATTTTCAGATCTTGCTGCCTTATTTATTCGTTTCCATACCTACTGTTATTTCCTTCTTTGTGAGAGACACTGGTCTGAGTCAGAAGTCAGGTGGCAGAGTGGAGTGAAAAGGAGGGTGACTTCTGGGAATGCCACCAACAGCTGAACTGAAATGTTCACAGGTTTTCCCTTGGTGTATACTTTTGGTTTTTATGGGTCTGATTTGGTTAGAGGGTCAGGCCTCTATAGTTTAAAATGAAAGACAGGTGAGTTATGATAAAATATAATTCAGTAAGAGCAGAAGGAAAGAATCATAGCCTTGTCTATAGAAATGGTAAAAACGTGAGTATGTTTCCATGAACTTAAAGAATATAACTCTGCTGGATAGTGGAAAACACTTATATAGCATTTAACATGGTTGCAATATAAAGCCAAGCTCATTTTCAAAGTCTTATTCTGGGTCCATTTATTAAATAGTTTATACTGTCATTGAAAAAAATAAAAACTGGCCAATTACTGTCATACCTTTTAACTCTATACCTAATTAATTATGGCTTCCCAGAATTGAGTATATGGATCCAAATGAAAAGAGCCAGCCCATGGGAACTATAGTTCCCAGGTAGGTAGAAGAATCCATTTAATTTTATAGGACTTGTTTTTGTTTTGTTTTGGTTTGGTTTGTGTCTCTATTTTTGTAGCTGATTTATCTTGAGCTAGCATTTGTAAAAGATGGGGTGGGCCCCTAAGAGAATCTTTCTTCACCCACATTTAAGGGAGCTAGGATTCCTTTCACTAGGATTGACAGATGTCCTACCCAAGGTAGAATTTTTTTAAAGGTTTTCTGTTTTGCTTTGCTTTATTGTTTGTGTATTTTGCATGCAGAATGGAAATATCAAAAGACTACCAACATCTTAGCCCACTGATGGCATAGGACAGGAAATGACCGGATCACACCAGTGATTAGTCAGAAAAGGTGTCACTTCTATAGGGAGACAGTTCTCCAGGATTCTCTTGCATTTCTGCACATTGTAAGGGAGGCGCCTACTACCCTCTTGTTCTGGATGATCTTTTCAAGGAGGTCGCAGAGAGATCTGCTCATTACCCATTATAGTGAAGACAGTATTGCCCTTCAGGACAAAAGGAAGGTTTGCTTGCAGCTCCTTGTTAAAGATCTGGGTTCCCTAAGCTCAGGGTCCTCCCCTGTATGTAGTTCAGAACCACTTACTTGTAGCACCTTGTTTTTCATCCGCTTCATCCCATAGTTGTTGGGGAGCAGGGGGACTGACATGGTCATCATGTCCATACCTTTTTCTGCCTGAGCTCCGAGTCACGCAGTCCTTTGTCTCTGACCCAGGAGTCTTGTGTCTTCTGCCAGCAACCGCAAGACTGTGGCATGCTAACATGTGAGCCTGCACGCAGGGTGAAGTCTCAGACCCTCCCCCGGTCTTGCCAATTACTCTAGCACTACAGAAGAACCTCCTTTCTTAAAAATTGGTGGGGAAAGTGTTGAAATTCACTGATGGGACATTAATTTTAATATATAGAGTTGATAATTTGTATTTTAGTTTTATCAGCCCATGTGAAATACTGGAATTTTCCAAATATCTGTAACTGTTTATACTATTATCTGTAAACATCCATTTCCCCCCAGTAAAAAGGATTTGGGCTTTTATCTGGCTGGATTTTATCTGGTATTTGAACAGTTTGTGATTTGTTAGCTGAACATCTACCGGCAGTTTTTTGCAAGCTAAGAAAAAATAGAAATACTCTCTATCTGCTTGTGAAATACCTTCTCAATAGCTCTGCCAGCTCAGCTGTTTTGGAGGACTTACTTTGTGTTACAAGTGGGATTTCTTCCACATCTGCAGAAAACAGTCACAGCCACTAGCTCAGTGTATTTCATAAGGGTCCGTCCTGTCCTCCACGCTTTTTGTTTTGGCAGTCAGGAATTGCTCTAAATCTTTTTCTTAACATCCTTGAACTGGCCTTTGAAGGATTTGTAACATTTCAAAAGGTTGTATGAAGAGGGTAGCATTCTCTGGTAAAAAGAGAAGAAAGCCATCAGTACGATTTCCATGACACTCCAGGGAAAGACCTGGGCTCATAGGCATGACGCCTGGACACACCTAAACAGGCGTTCATCAGAAGCACCGGCCACCCTGTCTATTACAGTGAGACTGTTGGCACACCCTCATCTGTGGCGCTGGGGACTGCAGGAGGATGACTTGTATGCCACTTGCTGCAGGCAGGAGTGGCTCCGGCTAACAGGTATACCATCTGGGGTTGGTAGGACACTTGCAAATAAGGACACCCTGGGCTCCAGACAGCTGGCTTGGGGACACTTCTCTGTACAGTGGCACACTTCAGATGTTTGGAGAGTAACACCTGTTACCTGAGACATGGCATCATTTTCAGATGTGACAAGCGAGGCGTGTTACAGCTGTTGTCTTCGGAGAGAATAAACAGTTACTCTCTACACCACCAATATCAGTATAACTCAATGAGTCTCAAATGTGTGGTTCCCAGAGTAGTAGTAAAAACATCACCTGCCAGCATGGCAGAAATGCAAATCATGGGCCCTACTTCGGTACTACTGAATTAGAAAACTCTGGTGTGGGGCCCAGCAACGTCTAGCGTAACAACCCCCACCCTCCACCAGGTGATTCTGGTGCAACGGGTGTTTGAGAGCCACAGGTGTTACTCATTGTATCGCAGGTCAGAGGAGAATGAGGTTAGTTGGGTTATAAGTAGGGAAAGAATAAGTGAAGGGTGGTGCTGTCAAATGTATAAAGGGATGATGGTAGAATTTGTTGAATAAACCTACTGATTTTTTCATTTAAGAAAACATATCTAATGCCTCTTCTCTGCGGGGCGCTGTTAAGATACAGATATGAATAAGGGATTCCATAATACTTCAGAGTCTATATCAGGGGTGGACCATTAATGATGGCCTATGGACAAAATCCCATTTTCCAAATGTTTTTATGAATAAAGTTGTGTTAGGACACAGTCATAGGTGTCCATCTGCATATTGTCTGTGGGTGCTCTCAGGCTACCATGCAGATTGAAAAGCTCAACAAGGACCCACAAAGTCCCACAAAGTCAAAAACATTTAATATCTGGAGCCATAATAAAAGGTCGAGTCTAGTGTTTCAAGGGGAACTACTGTCCATATTCCAGGTAGTTATACTCGAATGGAGCTGTGGTGTGCAAGTGCTCTTCCGTTGTCCAGTGATAAACTTGTGTTGGATTTTTGCCGCAGCAGAGAACTTCACTTCATGGATGTGGTTATCGTGGAAGGTGTAAAGACTGTCAGGCAAGAGGTAGAGCAATTACTGTGCCGAGCACCTTAATGTACCAAGGGTAAAGGGGTGTGTGAACAAATGGAGAAATAACAAGGGAAAGAAATGAAGAAAAATAAAAAGAAGATTTGGGTTGAGAAGGGAGAAGATAAGCAATCAAAAGAATGTGACCTACGTGAAAAGCTAAGTGTGCAGGACAAGGCTGGCGAAGCCAATTAAGGAGACAAGTACAGGTGTAGAACATTCCCCGCTGCTTAGCGTGGGGGGCAGGGTCCGAGTCTCCCAGGGAATTCTGGGACCCTCTACAGAGGCAGAAAATGGTTCGGGAAGTGTCTGAGGAGAGTCACACTCTGCTACTGTGTAAGTCTCCGTGTTCGAACATGCTTATTCGTAGGAGTGTTCCCTCGATTCTTTACTCTGTATCACGTCCTTGCTGTTAACTGACCGATTATGTAGCGGGCCATGGAAAAAGCTCTGGGTTTCCCCTTAGAAAGTCTGGTTACTTCCTGCCTTCACCTCTGATTGTTTGACTTTGGACAAATCATTTCATGGCTCAGTGTCTCCCTTCCTCATTTGTGAGATACTGTTTCAGGCTTCCTCCTGCATTGACATTGTGCTATTCTACTAGACTCACTTATCATGGAAGGGCATCGCTAAACCAGACTCACGGAGCATTTCCCCAGCTCCAGAGCTGAAAGAGCAAAGGAAGATGAGCAGAGACACTTGGACCCTCCTAACAAGGGGATTGCAGACTAGTTTGGCATGAGGGTATTAGTTTCCCTCCAAAGATTTGATGTGGACTTCTAACTCATACCTACTAATAGTTTTCCTCTCTTGCCCGAAGAGATTGTTCACTATGAAAATGTTTGGGGATGGGAAATGGCCAGCTGAGCTCCGTGCCTGAGATTTCTCACAGAGTTCTCATTCTTTTAGGAATTTTTCTTTAAATGTGGAGCACACCCAACCTCCGACAAGGAAACGTCAGTAGCTTTGAACCTGATTACGACAAACAGTCGAGACATCACCTGCATAACGTGTACCGACGTCAGGTAAGGCTCGGAAACACCGTCACCCTCCACAGGTTGCTTTCCCAGTGGTGGCCTCTCGTGGGAACCTCCTCAGTGGTTTCTCTTTCTTGAGGAGTGTCTGCTTTGCTTCGACGCCATTCATGCAATGTGGGTGTATTTCAGTATGATCAAATTATTTAAAGTGCCAAATCCTTAGTGTGGTCCATGGTCAAAGCTTCGATGCCGTTCACCCAATATGGGTATATTTCACTATAATCAAACTTTTTAAAGTACCAAATCCTTAATGTGGTCAGTGGCCAAATACTATGCTAAAGATATAAGTGAGATAACTTGTGTCTAAAAGTAGTGTGATCTTAAAAAAATAAGTGTTAGGAATGCCATAACAATTTATGAGCACTATTCATTCTTGGAATATATGATCCATAACATTTTATTTTAAGCCATCTCTACACCCAACATGGGGCTCGAGCTCACAATCCCAAGATCGAGAGTCACATGCTCTACTGACTGAGCCAGCCGGGCGCCCCAACATTTTATTAAGATGTCTTTTCCACACACTTCAGTTCTTCCATATAACTTGCCCAGTGTTTATAGTGGGGCTTCACATATATTCATACGCCCAAAATAAAAGCATGTAGCTAGTTTGGGACCTGGTTATGTCTAATCTCAGTAGAAGAAAGAAAATGTGGAGACACTGTTAGGAAAACCAGGGATAAGGACTAGATTTGAATTTCAGGTTGGGAGGCAAAGACCAAGTAGAAAAACCCAAGCCTCTTGAATCTTCAGAGTTGGTGGCTGAGAGTAGAACTCCTTACTTTATTCAGATGAACAGAAAATAGCTTTATTCCACATTCTCTGAGGTTGGCTAGAAGCTCAAATTGCAATAGAGGGATCCTAGCCCTGATATCAAGAAGAGCTTTTAGTAAAATGCCAAAGTGAATTGATGAATAAAGTCAAAGAATCCTCCTTGTTCCAGACTTTTAAACAAAGACATAAATACCCTCAGCATTTCAGTGTTGTCTCTCTTTGGTCTTGGGAGAGTGTTAGGTGGCCTTTTAAAATTACCTTAAGCTCTGTGATTTAGTGGTTAGTGGGTATTAGTAACACTCCTAACATAACACTTCTATCCTTTAATAAATTTAAATAAAAATATTGACAAATAGAAGCCTAAAATCCTTAACAGCATCTGTTAGACAAATTTGTATCCAAGAAGGGATTAAAAATGAGGCTTTTTTTTTTTTTTTTGCTGCTGCTGCCTTTTTAGTTCCTGCTGTGATAGGGAACACCACAATATTGCCTAAAATGCAGCTTTCCAATATCCCCCGTAAGGTGAATGATTGCAACGGGCTAATGTTTTCAACTCGCAAGAACAGTTGATTTGTCTGGTATTTCAGGAAGGGAGCTGGGGAGTCCTAAAACTGAGAGCTCAACTGCTCTGCAAGCACTGAGGAATTAAAATCACGTCTCAGTTTTTCATAGGAGAAAGGAGTTTTTCTCTAAGTCAGAATGCAGCCTGCCAGCCAATATTTAAAAACCTTCCATTAGAGTTGGTGAAGATGGCATTAAGATATGTAGTATTGATCGTACTATCTTACCCCGAGCATTGCTCTCCATGCTTCCTGCTGCAAAGCTATAGCCTTCATATTAGTAACACAACATCCACCCAGAGAAACAAGCCACTTCCCAGATGCACAGGGAGATGATTGCTGGAAAAGTAATATTGTCTGTTGCAATAAAATTTTTCGTCTATTTTGAGGGGATTTTATAAATAGAATTTACTGTATTCAATTAGATTTAAGTGTGTGTGTGGAACCAATCACTTGACTGAATGAGGTCCCTTCGTATATAAGGGAACAGAGGAATAGTCTGTGTGTAAAATAAAGGAAGAAGCCCTCTCCTCTTACAGTGAAGGATTCATACATAGGGATTTCATAAAAACCTGCATGAAGACACACCAATACTTTATGTTGTACTTTGCTGATTGTTGTGGTTTCTTTCTTTTTTTTTTCCTGCAAATGCTTTCTTTTCTAATTTAGAAGTGATTCACTCACAAAAAAACTAAAAAAAAAAAAAAGATGTTTTTACCCTCATGGTTGGTAAGATTTTGGCTTAATTCTTTCCAACATCTTGAGTTTGCCTAAATATTTGCATGTATACATGGTGGGGGGCAGGTGTGAAATGTAATCATATTGTATATGTAGTTTTGTATCTGGCTTTTTCCACTTTGCATTGCATCATGAGAAATTTCCCCTGCTATGATATATCCTATGAAAACAAGTTTTGGTTTTTTTTTGTTGTTTTAAATAGGTACCTAAGATTTCAACATTTGGGAATACTCTAATCATTTCCCTATTGCTGGTGATTTGAATTATTTCTAATTAAAAATATTAAATTAAGTAACCCTTAAATCTATATCTCTTTCCAAAAATCATCGACTGCTTGTTTTGAATCTAAGAATAGTGTCATAGAAATGGTAACAGAAGGTCAGTGTTAATGGACATGTTTAAGGTTCTTGATGCGTATCGCCAAGTTTATTTCCATTTTAGACCATGATTGCCTATCAGAGGGCTCCCGACTGCATCTTTTCCAGTATTATGTTCATAGTTTTAGTTTTTGATTATTTGCTGAAGGACATTACTTTTGTCATTAATATTTGTTGTTGTTTTTTTTATTGGCAAGTTCGAGCATTTCTAACTTATTTGCATTTTCTTTTTTCTTTTTTTTTTGTTTATTTGCATTTTCTGTTGTGAGAGAAAAATGCAGAACTTTCTCAGTATGAAAGCTTTAGGAAGAATCTGAAAAAAAAAAGATTGACTCTGCAGTTACTTTCTCATTCACTTAAATATCAGTGTGTCCTTTATTAATATAAGGTTTTCTGACCTATGAATATATGTTTCAATGTATTTCTTTGGTTTGGATTTTGAAATATCACATCTTCCTGGAGATAAATCAAGTTATTTAATTACAGAATTGAAAATACAAATTGGGGGTATCTATTTATGTTTTATGTTTGTTTTATTTATTTTTGTATGTACCCTAATCATCCATCATTAGTCAAATTAGCCATCATTAACTGCATAATAGATTAAAACCAGAGGATTAATTTCAATTGCACTTGTTGGTCACTGGCATATGGGAAAGTGATTGACTTTTGCATGTTAACCTGGTATCCTGCAACCTTGCTGTAACTGGTTATTATTTCAGGAATTAATCTGTGGCTTTTTTCAGGTTATCTGCATAGATTATTACGTCATCTGTGAACATGCGCAGTTTCATGTCTTCCTTCCCTATCTGTATCCCTTTATTTCTTTTTCTTGCGTGTTTGCATTAGCAAAGCCATCCGGTGTGATGTTGAAAAGGAGTGGTCCAGAAAGGACCCACTTGCCTTGTACCTGATCTTATTGGGAAAGCTTCAGGTTTCTTTCCTAGTTTTCTGATAGTTTTTATCATGAATGGGGGTGTTGGATTTTGTTGATACCTTTTTCTGTGTCTACTGATATTATCATGTGATTTTTCTCTTAGTCTGGTGTTTAGCCTGTTTTAGTCTATGATGGATTATATTAATTTATTTTTGAGCGTTGAATCAGCTCCTCGTACATGGGTTCAATCCCTCTTGACTATTGTATATAATTCTTTTTAAGCTTTTCTGTATTTGATTCGCAAATATTTTGTTGAGGATATTTGCATCTATGCTCATGAGAGGTATGGGTCTGTAGTTTTCTTGTATTGCCTTTGTCTGGTTTTAGCATTAAGGTAATTTTGGCCTCATAGAATGAGTTAGGAAGGGGCGCCTGGGTGGCTCAGCCAGTTAAGCGTCTGCCTTAGGCTCAGGTCATGATCCCAGGGTCCTGGGATCGAGTTCCGCATCGGGCTCCCTGCTCAGCGGGGAGCCTGCTTCTCTCTCTCCCTCTGCCTGCCTGTCTGCCTACTTGTTCTCTCTCTCTCTATGTCAAATAAATAAATAAAATCTTAAAAAAAAAAAATGAGTTAGGAAGTATTCATTCTGTTTCTCTCCTCTAAAAGAGATTGTAGAAAATTGGTTGCAAGGTAAAAATTTTATTTATTGTTGTGCTTTACAAACATACAACTTTGTATACAAAGAGATTAAAATCTCTTTCATCTACATTCTTAATAAGTGTCTAATAACATAATTCAAGGGTCTCCAGCACCAGTAAGCTAACTTTTTGACTTTAGGAAAAAAAACACAATCTCTTAGGCCTTCAGGTTCCTTATAAAGTCTGAGAATTGCAGTAGGTCATCTATAAGGCTCTGGCTGGTTTTAAAAGCTTGCAAGAGGTAGGAACAGTGCTTGTTCACAGCTTATAAATCGATCGTATCATTTGAGAAAACACTTGTTTGTGGTCCTGCCTGCTGACAAATGCAGAAATAAAAGATGAGGTTTTCAGTGACACTTGTTTCCACAGCCCACATTTGTGGTTGTAATATGTAAAGGTCTATGTGTCTAACATAGATGTGTTATTCATTTCCAGATATTAGGCTTAAAATTTTATTCAGGTATGTGGTTTGTGTCCTTCGAGTTTACCTTGTATATAAAATATTTTCCCCTCTCTTGGTGCACTTGGGGGGATCAGTCAGCTAAGCATCAGCCTTCGGCTCAGGTCACGATCCCGAGGTCCTGGGACCGGGCTCCCTGCTCAGCGGGGAGTCTGCCTCTGCCCGTCCCCCTGCTCTTGCACGTGCTCTCTCTCTCTCTCTCTCTCTCTGTCAAATAAATAAAATAAAAATAAAAATAATAAAATATTTAACCCTCTCTTAGAGAAGTGAGCTATTTGAGAACCACAGTAGCCTGAGGTTTTACACGAACCAGCAGATTCCCATCTGCCATCCAGCCACGCGGTCCCCTCCACCCATAGTAGTGAGTTGATCTGCAGCCACTCAAGGTTATCAGTTGATAGTCTTACGTTTATGAACGAAAAGTAGTGAATTGAACAAAAAGAAAAAAAAAAACAAAAAACAACCAAAAACTTGAGCCAAGAACAAAAGTACAGCACTTGAAGGCA